TGGGGTGTTCTTCGGAATGGGCCAATGGGCTGGGGAGAGCCTTAGCCAGGCCCCCGCCTCTCGGGAGGAGCGTCTCTGTCTGTAAACAAAGGGCGAGGCAGCCCGCTGTGACGCTTCGGGCCCCTTTCGCTTTGCCTTCTCGCCTCCTCCTCCTCCTCCTCCTCGGAGTCCGTAGGCTTTGCAGTCGCAGTGGGCAGAGAAAAGGCGAACCTTTGCACAGCCACCTTCTCCCCAAAGGTACTCCTTGAGGACTCCAGAGAGGGAGGGAAGGAGGCAAAACCTGATGGGAAGGTGGAGCCACGCAGGAGCAGCCACTCCGCAGGCAACTTGTGGCACCTGGGCATGCTTTTGTGCCCAAGTCCCTTTCTAGGCAGGATTTCACTCCCTAAAACTAAAGTTTGGTGAGACACCATTTCTTCGGCAGAGATCTTGCCAAACTCCCAGGCTAATCCGTAGCATTGGGCCATGACCGTTAACGTGGTGTTGAATTGCATAACTTTTGCAGTGTCGGGATACGCCCCACCAAGCTAGCCTTTCCACTTCCCGCCCCTCTTTCTCCGCCTTCGACGGGGAAAACACTCCCGGGGATTGTTTGCACTTTCCCTGGCGCCACGCCCTTTCACTTTCTAACCCGCTGCAAAAACCATCACTCGCGGGGGTTGCGTTTCCAAGGCGGGGGAAGTCCCCAAGTTTATATACTATGGGGTTTTGTAACTTCCGAATGGATCTCTAGCAGGAGGGGTTGTGAAGTTAAGGATCACCTAGGCCCAAATGATTACTGCAAAGTAAACATTTACAATACAAGATGATGGCTTTCATGACCTTGTTGTAGGTTTTTCGGGCTATATGGCCATGTTCTAGAAGCATTCTCTCCTGACGTTTCACCTGCATCTATGGCAGGCATCCTCAGAGGTTATGAGGTCTGTTGGAAACTAGGAACATTAGGTTTGTATATCTGTGGAAAGTCCAGGGTGGGAGAAAACTCTTGTCTGTTGGAGCTAGGTCTGAATGTTTCAATTGACCCCCTTGATTAGCATTTGATGGCCTGACAGTTTTTAGGTGTGGCTTCTTACTGCCTGGGAGAATCTTTTGTTGAGAGGCGATTAGGTATTCCTGATTGTTTCTTGTCTGGAGTTCCCTTGCATAAAGAGGAGTATAGTGCCTAGATCCAGGGAAATCATGCTACCCCTCTTTCCAAACCACACCAGGAATACTGTGTCCAGTTCTGGGCACCACAATGGAAGGGAGATGTTGACAAGCTGGAATGTGTCCAGAGGAGGGCAACTAAAATGATCAAGGGTCTGGAGAACAAGCCCTATGAGGAGTGGCTTAAAGAGCTGGCCATGTTTAGCCTGCAGAAGAGAAGGCTGAGAGGAGACGTGATAGCCATGTATAAATATGTGGGGAGAAGGGAGGAGGGAGCAAGCTTGTTTAATATGTGGGGAGAAGCCATAGGGAGGAGGGAGCAAGCTTGTTTAATATGTGGGGAGAAGCCATAGGGAGGAGGGAGCAAGCTTGTTTTCTGATGTGCTGGAGACTAGGATGTGGAACAATGGCTTCAAACTACAGGAAAGGAGATTCCACCTGAACACGAGGAAGAATTCCCTAACTGTGAGAGCTGTTCAGCAGTGGAACTCTCTGACCCAGAGTGTAGTGGAGGTTTCTTCTTAGGAGGCTTTTAAACAGAGGCTGGATGGCCATCCATCGGGTGTGCTTTGAATGTGATTTTCCTGCTTCTTGGCAGGGAGTTGGACCGGATGGCCCACGAGGTCTCTTCCAACTCTATGATTTTATGATCTCTTCCTACAAGGCATCTTAAGAACAAAAACTGAACAATAGTAACTTATGGTGGAGGGATCTTGATGGATATTTGGAATACAAAATATCTTGATACCAAATAAAGTTGCAAATGCAGTACAAAAAAGTTGAACCATTGCTCTTTAAAACTTTTTTTAATGACTGAGTACATTTGAATAATCTGTATGCTTTAATCCATGGGCAGCCATTGTTCAGATTTCTATTCTCGGAAGAATAGTTTCCTGTGGCCTGCAATCTTGTAATGGAAATGAATGATAATGCTGAAAGAGTGGCAATAACATGGAACTAAACAGGATATAAAACCAGCAAATACATTTCCCAGACTTAGCTAGGATTTGAAAAAATTGAACTGAAATTGGAACTTTATCTGCAGCTCTGTATCATTCAGTATAGCTCAGCCTGTGTCTTTCTGTGACAGAAGAGTCATTTGTTTTGAAAAAACATGCAACTTCCATCATAGAACGTGTGTTCAGGCTGCCGTTTCAATTCCAAGAATCCCTTGATAGTGACTATGGAGTATATTGTTCTCTGCATAGCAGTTGGGTAGAAACATTCCTTTCTTGTCAGTATGATCTGAATGATCCGAAATTAGAATTGTGGGAAATATATTCATATTATAAAACTAGTATCTTATTTTTCAGTATCATTGTAGGCACAATCATGGAAATGGAATGTGAGTAAAATATTATATCTCTTTTAGGTCTCTCTCTCCCTCCTCCCCCTCTCTTTCTTTTCTGTTTGTACCTGGAATGCATATTTGCCTGCATGCATATTTTGTGCTCCCACTTTAATGTACTGTTTTTCACTGGGTCCGGCTTCTTCTCATTTAGAGAATTCATTGATTATTTTGCTTTCTTTCACTCCTTTTCATTTTGCATGTATCTGGGAAAAATGCCTATTTTCCATGGTTGAATAATACGAGCTTTTCCTCAAGCTTATAACATGTTGCAAACCTTCACCTATTCCAAGAGTGAGCAACCTATCTTTCCAGTATGATTAGACTTCAATTCCCATCAGTCCTAGCCAGCATAGCAAGGGCTGAAGGGTTAAGAGAGCTATAGTCACTGAAATGGGCATTGCCTATCCCCTGATCTGTTTTCTTCTCAATGATTCTTGATAAGGACAGCATGACTACCCACTCTAATCAGGCCCGTAGCCAGGATTTTGATTCGGGGGGGGGGGGGGGGCGAGTCTGAGTGAAAAGGGTCTACCTAGCAAACCTTTTGTATCGTTACCCCAATACCCCCATGCATATGGGATATATTGAGTATGGTGATCAGATCATGATATGAATAAACATAACAGTTTAAATAATGCACCAGTAAGGCCTTTTCGAGAACCACCATGAGAATTTGGGGGGGGGGGGGGGCTGAAGCCCCCCCCCCAGCTACATGCCTGACTCTAATAAATTGTCAGAATATTGCAGATGAAAAGCATAGTCTAAGCAATTTTTAAAAGACTCAAGCCCAAATCCAATTGCTTGTCTCATGTAGAGAATATGAATTGCTGAATGGTAAGTCACCGTTTATGTAAATCATATTGATTCACCAGACTAGCCACGGTGAGTCTGACTGAAGCCTTACAAATTTATTGTGACAGGTGTATATGCATATAAATGTTAATTATTTTCTACCATTGGAAGAACAGAAGTAAATGGAGTGTGAAAAACCATCTGTGGTAAGGTAATGTATGGCTCTACACTTGTGGTTATACCATGTTCCTCATTCATGCTGCCTGGAGAAGAAATGAAGAAAACAGGTATTTCTTATATTGTAGTTTCACTAGATACTATTCTGTTTAAGTGAAAAGTGAATATCCACTTGAAGCTGGCCATGGAATCATATTTGAAGACCTAGAGATTCCCAGAGAGATATTCTCTCTAGCAATCTCTAGGTCTTCTAGGATGATTGGAGGAAGTTGACCACAGAGTGACCTTCTAATCAAATCTGGTAATAATCAAATCCGCAAAAGTCAAAACCATAGATGTGGAGAGACGACTGCTTAATCATTCACATTTCAGGATATAGAAATAACGGAAGACCAATGATCTTATGATATACAAGAAGATATTCAGTCCTTCCAGTTGAGATGTTTTGAATTTGTCAGCTTGACATCAGTGAATTTTGATTTTCTTATACATAGAAAGGATTTCCAACGACGTTCAGTACTCTCTAGTAAACATGGGAATTGGACAAATTGAACATGTTATAAGTTTTTGCAGAGATTTTAACTCAATTAATGCTAATTATTACAGTGAGTGACAACTTTTAAAGTTTGAATGTCAAAATCATTGGAAGTTAAGAATTTAATTTTAATCTGTATACATTATCTTGATGATTTTAGTTCTGTTCACAAATGAATAGATAGGTAAAAGACAGTTTAATCCTTACCAGACTGCTCAGAAGCATTGTTTAAAAAACAACATTGTGTGTCATATGCAGATCTATATATAATCTTCCCATAGATCATAGAAATGTAGGGGATAGAAATACTACAGACAAAAAAATTGTTTTTTTCCAGCACAAGACTCTAAATCTGTACCACCACCTCCAGCATATTCTGGTCCTGGCTATCCACCTGCCCAAGCCCAGTATGGATTTGCTCAATACGTACCTGGACCTGCTATTCCAGGTAAGAAACAGGGTAGAATTTGGTTGAAGACATTCATATTTATATGAATGCATATTCAGAATATTCAGCATATTCAGAATGTTGGTATATAACTGTTTAGTTACCTATAACACTTACCACCTTATCTCTCTTCCAATGTTTTTCCTCTTTCCCCATTTTACCTCTGTAGAATTCAGAAAAATAGGTTGGGCAGAGAGATGGTGACTGAGTCACACTGGCACTTCTTCCCATCCTCATCTCTTGCACATGGGATGGAATGCATTGCTTTTTGTTCCCAAGTTCAAGTCACCATGTCACAAAAGCCACCACATCACGCTAGCCACCACATCACACAAGCTCTCACCTTGCTGATGTTTGCAACTGGGAAATACTCTGTATGCCCTCTTAAAGCATTTTGCTAAAAGAAAAAGTCAGGCAATGTGAAGAAGTCCCTTACATTTATCTTTTAATCCTTATTCAGGTTGGTGAGACATTAGAGTCCCCTTGAGTCATATATAATAATAATAATAATAATAATAATAATAATAATAATAATAA